CTCCAGTTACAGAATTCTTTAGGTACAGAGGTTCTGGAAACACCCACGGAATGAAGGAAAGACTAGCTTTCAGGAAGATGAACAATTCATGGCAACAAATATGTATATCCGGAGGAAAGGCTGATAAACGGAAGCTTCTTTAGGAACTTAAGGGGATTAGTACCTCTAAACAATATTAAAGTACATTCTAAATAATATTCAACATGGGCATGTTATAGATAATAATGATATCACCAAGGGTGCTTCGTTACTCTGACATACAGCTCAATCACCTCACTCTATGTGTAACGGTAGCAATGAATAACCTGAGTTTAAATCATCTCTAACATAGACATGAAGTGTACACTGTAACTAATCATAATTTCTATCATTTATCTGTACTTGCCCCACCCTAAATTCTCTGTTGAGCCCTTTGGATGTTATTATCCCAGTTCTCATAGCAGTCCTCCGGAAAATGTACTGTTTTAATGGAGTTTTCACAGATGAAGTAATGAGGAATTGAACCCTTGAAAAGTTATAGAATTCATTCCAGGTTTCATAGGTAGTCAAGTATTAAGGCTAGAACTGGAAGTCATGTCATCTGAACTCAGAAGTGAGCTCATAGCTATTTTAAAAGCCCAAAGTCCAAACTAGCTGCTGAGTCAACTCTGACTCATGTGTGCTCCATAGTGTTTTCAATAATTGATATTTTGGAAGCAGCTTTCCAGGTCTTTCCTTCTAAGGAATGCTGTTGATAGCTTTGAACAGTCCAGTTAGAAACAAGGTGTGTTATCTATTTGCACCACCCACCACAGTCTCATAAGTAGAAGAGAAAAATCGGGTCTCACTTAGACCTTACCTCCTTTATCTCTCTTTCTCTCTCTCTCTCTCTCTCAGCTGCTAATCCAAAGGTGGCCCCTCTCTGGCAATTACAATCCACCAGTTCCACAGGAGAAAAATGGGCAATATTCTCCCTTGCAATGAACACCTTTCAAAAATGCACTGGAGGATCAGCCTTGACCAGGTTCCAACTAGATTATAATGTTTTTAGTATGTGGCTTTTTAATTTCTTTTAGGAATTTTTGTCTTTTATCCTTTTCCACGAACACACACATACACACACACACACACACACACACACAAGGAAAGTTCCAGGTTAGCTTATCAAAATAAAGTCTTAAATCTAATTCAAATTGACAGCAAGCGAAAAAAAGGAAAGACAATAGTAGAAACTCTTATAACTAAAATCTAGTTAACAGTCACTGATACACCAATTAGCCAATTCTCCATTTCCTCCGAAAACAAAGGATATAAATTACTCTCCTACACCTAGAATACTTTTGGATAGCATACTAATTAATAAGCCCAGGCATAACAAATAGGAGAATTATACTGTAGATAATTTGTTGTCAGACTTTTTCCATGAAACAGTAAGATTCAGCTTTAAAAAAAATAATTTTAAGAAATTACACACAAGCAAAGTTAATTGAAATTGCAAACTGCCTGCCCAGGAAATACAAAGAGTTAAAAAATACACCCCTAACTCAAGGAAAACTAGTGAATGACACTGCTGGAAAGAATTGAACTTACTATAAAGTACAAGCCCATTTCCTATGGAAAATACAGTAATTTATTTCTTTAGTATAAGCTTTCCAATAAAGAATGCTACTGAATTCAAAGTCTTGCTACAACTGGCTGCATACTCTACCCAACAGAAGATATACAAGCAAAGAGGAAGCATGCTGTCTAAAAAAATATATTTACAATTTCCTTCTATTTCCTCTTCTAAACAGAACAACTCTTCTTTGGGGACTGAGTCAGGGGAATGTAACAATACACCACACAACACTTTCTATTCTCACAGCCAATAAAAATTAGAGCCCATGAGAATCAATCAGCTATTTCCAGAAGGCAAGGGTTTCTGTGGTAGAAGTCTCAGATGGAATTCTCACCCAGCATAAGCATCAATGTTTGGAGTTCAGATCCCCAAGAATGAGCAAAAACCCATTATGGAAAATGAACATATCTATTTATCTAGCTGGCTAGAGAGATCCTTTAATTGCTTTGCACAATTATAATTGTGGCTGCAACTTCACAAGGGGTCACTATGAACTAGAATCTACTCAATGGCGTCCAACAACAACCATAATATATGTATGTGCCTATATATATTTGTATCTGCCTCACTTTGGGCACATAGCTAGGAGAGATTGGTCCTTAGAGAAGGATATCACACTCAGAAGGGTGGTTTCTGCGCTCAGAAAGCGCAGAAGAAGTAGATGCGGATGAGATAGATTGATACAGTAACTGGGGCAACGGGGGTTGGTGTGTCAGAATTTGCGAGACTGGCTCAGGACAGGGAAGGGTTCAGAGCTGCTGTACAGAGGGTCGCTATACATCACAGGTGACTCAATGCCACATAACAATAATAACATACTATGACAAGTTTGGAAGCAGGAGTTGCATCCACTTCCTAAATAACATGCCTTTGGAAACTCTATGAACTTTGATAAATGTTGATAGTTGTAGAGGGGCTCCAGGTCTTTTGTTCATAGAGTCATTATGAGTCATGCTCGACTCGAAGGCAATCAATAACAATATATATTTTTATATTTAAATCTATACATTAGACTGATACTAACTAAACTTTGGTAATATTCATTAATTATATCAAATTATAACAACACCTTTGTTTCCTTACTCTTCGCTTCTTTTGTTATTACCTGATAAATCTTTCTATACCACGAGCCTAGTATGCCAGAGTTTACATCATTATTTATGATTACTCAACAGCAAGCCCAATCCACCAAAGGATGAATGCATGAACAAGTTATTTATTTCTCTCTCTCTAAAGATAGATAGATAAATAGATAGATAGATAGATAGATACATAGATACATAGATAGATAGATAGAGATATATAGAGATAGAGACAGAGATAGATATATATATACACACACACACACGCACACAACACACTCTAGTGACCTAGTGGCAAGAAGCTGTGCTGCTTTCCCAAAGGCAGGCAGCTTTAATCCACCTGCTGATCTGTGAGAAAAGAATTGTCAGTCTCCTCCCATGCAATTCACTGCCTCTGAAAACCCGCTGGAGAGTCAGCTATGGGTTGATTTCACCTTGACAATACACAACATCATACATTCATATATTCATATACACAATAGGATATAAATTAGTCATACATAAAGTTCTGATACATGTCATAGTGTGAATAAAACTTGAAAACATTATTTTCAGTAAAATGAGTCACAGAAAAAAAAGGAAAAATATTTCAAGATCCAACTTAGATGGAATATAAAAAGTAGATGAGTATATAGAAACTAAAATGTATTAGTAGATTCAGGGGGTGGAGGAGGAAGGAGGAAAAAGAGGACGCATTGCTTCAGGGACACTGAGCGGCTGTTAAGGATGATGAAGAGGAGGATGGGTGAACATGATGAATATCACAAACGTCCCCGAGGTGCACATGTGAAGAATGCTGCAATGACAACTTGCCACGTCTATATTTACATCTGCCACAATAAAAATTAAAAAAATAAAAAACAATTAAATGATATGCATGTCTTCAGAAACTTTGTACAAGTAAGTATTCCTTGGATTCTGAATAAAATCCATTCCTAAAAGTGACATTAAGAATTTGGAGGTAAGTCAAACCAAGTGCATATGATTTTTATTTAGTGCAATGGGTTGCTATGAGTCAAAATGCAACTTGATGCCTAGCCTAAGACAGACACTCATAGGGACAGTGAATGGAAACTATAGGAGGTTGGAGGGAAAAATTCTCTAATTTTCAAACCTTCTTAGAATGAAAAAGACAGCCAAAAGAAGTAGTGAGTTCCTCAACATTAAAGATAATCAAGCATATACCAGATCACCACCATCTAGAGGGTAGGTTTATAGATAACTCATTCGTTGAACCGCATGACCTTACCCATTACACGGAGATACTTTTAATCTAAAGATCATTCCCATTTGCTTATACTAAGAAATCTAATCCCAGCTTATGTTGAGCAGAGGGGAAAAAAGACAAGATGAATAAATTAAACGAAAGGCAATACCCAAGTATAAATAGAAAATGATGTTGAACATGAGGAAGAAGGAATGGCAAACTAACAGGAAAATATAATGCAAAATCACAGGGGGAAAAAAACAGAAAAGGTGGGGCATGAAGAATAAGCGTGGGGTCTGAGGAAAGGACAGCCAAAGAACACCATGGCAGACAACGCTTTTGAGAAAGTGGATATATTCTTTTTAAGATGGGTTTCTCCTTTATAGGTGTCAGAAACTGATCAGAAGATCATGGTGAGTGTAGCAGGAAAAGAAACAAGGTATACTATTAGGGCTGCTCTTACGCTATTACTCAATTTCTGGCTTCAAAGGATCTCAGATCCCTGTGTCTGTACAGCCCAGTACATTAGCAGGGATACAGTTGTCAATGATGTCAGTAGGTGGAGAAGTGGTAAAAACTAGAAAAACAAAGGCCTATTTTTTAACAAAGCTAATGTTAAGAAGAAAACAGAAACCACCTAGAAAACTCATTTTCAAAGCTAAGTCATAGAGGAAATGGGGGGAGGGGGGCAGGGCAGAGAATGGTTTAAAAGTTATCTCATGCATATTTCATCTGAATTTTATCACCATTTGTAATCTACTTCCAAGGTTTTATAATACCCTTTAACCTTAGTTACTCAACCCACTGAACAAGTCATCTCATTGTTAGCCTGTTTGAAGGAAGAGTGGAGACTCTTTTCATGTCGATAAGAGATAGAAAACAGAGTCACTCCCAGGAAAGAAAAATGTTGAGTAAACTCCTGGAGTCAATGGCAAGAAGGGGTGATAATCGACCGCCTGCCTTTTAACCCTTTACAAGATGCTCCCAGCAGAAGCCAGAAGTCCATGTAATGGATGAACTAAAAGCTTTTTGTTCCATTACAATTTTTTTTAAACTCAAATTTTTCCTTACAAACCCAAAGGATACGAAACAAAAGCTGTATTCTATTACTCACCCATTTCCTAGGTCTGCCTCTTGGCCGTTTTTCTCCAATGGCTTCTGCTTTCTGCAAAATGAAAAAGGAAGTTAAATAGCTCCTACATGACATTATTCATACATGCTGCACCAAGGGACACATTTCAACAAAAATGTTCTGTTTGCAGATGAAGGATAGGATTGTTTTAACAACCTCTTCCTCCTTTTGGGTTTATCTTTGAATAGACTATTTATCCCCATTGTGGGGGGTTTTCCCCTCCCATTTCATAATGTAAAGGGGTATAAACTCATTGGCTCTAAAGACAGCTAACTCCTTTGGAATGCATGAAAAAGAGATTTTGCTTTTCTTTTTTTCCATCATTTAACACAATCATTCCTTCCCATCCATAATTACACAAATGAGTATTTTTAAAAATTAATGCTACTTAAATGAACAAGATTTCTTTCACTGTCTCAACTAAAGTGACGAAATTAACCCTGAGGTATTGCTTGGCAATTTACAAAGCACTTTCACTTACACTGCTACTCTAAAGCATGTCTAAGTGTTAGACATACACAAGCATTCTAATTCAAAACAACAAACATTTGCTCACTTCTACAGGGCTAGTTTCCTGTGTACTGTCAAAAACAATCACCTGTCAATTTACCAACCAAAAAAAAGATGCTAATGGCCTAAAGCAGAGGGGGGCAAAATAATAAAATGTGACAGAAATCAATTCCCTAAGAAATTAATGAGTATCTAAAAGAAATAAAGATTTAGTGGTAAAGAGTGATACTGACAATCCAAAGGCAAGCAGTTCAGATTCACCAGTTGCTCAACCAGAGAAAGACTAGCAATCTCCTCCCCCGCAATGTACAGCCTCTGAAAACTCACTGGAGCATCAGCAATGAGTCTGTTGCATACTTCCCGGCACATTAACAACAATTAACAAGTAAAAGTTTACATTATTAATTATAATTTCAAACAAAACACAGACCTGACAAGAATATACTTTTCACTAGCTTGACTTGGCTCCACTCCTTTAAATACAGCTTTCTGATTTCACAGTTGTTTTTCCACTTTTGAATCAAATTTGTACACTGCAAATTAATCGTTTCTGGTTTTTTCACTTTTACTCCAGTACCAAGCACACACCAACACTTATGCACTACACACACATGCTGCTCTGTGTATAAAAGGCTATTACTTACATATCGGGGTGGGGGGGAAAGAAACATGAACTATGATAACTTGCTTCATGCTTTACTTTTGTCACCTGAGTTAGCAGCCAGCATGTAGTTGGTGTCATGATACTAAAATCCTATACCATGATTTGGCATCCTATACACTGCCTTGGGAGACTTAGTGGTTAGGAGTTGCACTGCCAACTCAAAGGCAAGTGGTTTGAATCCACCAGCTGGTCCACAAGAGGAAGATGGGAAATTTCCTCCCATGCGATTTTACTGCCTCTAAAAATCCACCAGAGTCAACTCTAAGTCAATTGCAACTGAATGGTACATAAGAACAACACATACTGCCAAATGAAAATCTCTCTGTCTCTGCAATCTGCCTCATAAAAGTATAGATGGTAGACCAATAGACAGGTAGATCCAAACTCAGCCAAGGTCACTGATCCAAATCCACTAACTTTGAGTCAGTTCCAACTCATAACAATCTTACAGAAAACAAAGGAGAACTATCCCATGGGCTTTCTGAAGCTGTAAATCTTTATGGGAACAGACTGCTTCATATTTCTCATGTGTAGCAGCTGGTAGGTTTCAATTGCCAACCTTTAAATTAGTGACTCACTGTTTAGTTCACCGTGCCACCAGAGTTTTTTGCCATATGGACGTTGTTGTGAACCATCGAGTTGGAACTGACCCACAGCAGACCCTCCAACATGTTTTCAGAGGCAGTTAATCGCACAAGAGGAGACTGCCCATCTTTCTCTCTTGGAGTAGCTGGTGGATTCGAACATTGTGCCTGCATGATTGCTGTGCAGCTTCTTACCACTAGGCCGCTATCCCTATATGGACGGATAAAATAAACTGCAAGATTTTGTACCAAATAGAATGTCCTGATTTGGCATTTTTATCATATGCATTGGGGACCACTGGTGGTCTAGTGTTAAGAAGTTGTGCTATAATCCCAGAGGCATGCAGTTTGAATCCCCCCGTTACTCTGCTGGAAGATCAGTTCTCTCCTCTCATGCAACTGCCTGCATCTGAAAACTCACTGGAGGGTAAGCCATGGGTAGGTTCCGACTTGACAGCACACAACAACAACAACAACATCCTATGTATTACCCAAGCTCTCTTTAATTGTAATATAACCAGTAACCAGCTGCCACTGAGCCAATATTGGCTCAGAGCAGCCCCATGAGTATTAGAGTAGAATTGTGCTCCAGACTTCCCAGTGGCTGAGGTTTTGGAAGTAGGCTGCCAGGCCTTTCTCCCAAGGTGCCTCTAAGTGGATCACCAGCCTTTCAGTTAGCAGGTAGGCTCATTAGACACTAATTGAGCATTTACAATAACTACTGCAAGCACTTGGCAAGGTCCGTCACATCCATCCTGTTTAATCCTTACACTGTCCTGTAAGGTGAAAAGCAAATGACAACAAACCATTGCCATGGAGTCGATTCCCATTCACTGTGGATGACTAGATAGAGTAGAGCAGAGGAGACCTGTCACACAGGATTTCCACAGATGCAAACTGCCACAGCTTTGTCCGGATGAGCAACTAATAGGCTTGAACCGTCAATCTTTTGCTTAGCAGCTGTGTATTTAACCACTGTGTACTTAAGATGCCTTTCCTGTAAAAACTCAAACACATTTCTATTAAGCCAGAACCAATTCACAGCTGACCCTCTCCAGTGTGTTTTCAGAGGTTGTAAAAAGCACGGAAGTTGACAGTTCCTCTTTCTCCAGCCAAACTGCTGGTGCATTCAAACCCCCAGAGAAGAACCACCTCTGGGTTACAGTGCAATTCCCTATGGACAAGGCCATCAGAGCTGCCGAGTCCCTATAAAGGAGGCACTATTTTTGTGTCGAATTATAAATTAGGAAATGAATCTTAGCTGTCCCAAAATCACACACAAATCTGGAAAGTGGCAGAACTGGAACTTAAAATTAGTTCAGTTTGACTCTAAAGACTATTCCATCCTCCTAAGAATGCTGCCCTTATAACAAGCATTTTCAAGGAAGAAAATATTTTAGGAAACCAAAATTGTCACTGATTCAGCTAATTTCCCAGAACAAGAAGAAACCTGGTGACCTTTGGAGCCTCCGCCTAATTGTCGGATTTGAGCTTCCTGAAAGCTGTTTTATTACTTTTGAATGGCTCCTTTATCATCCAGGCTCAGTGGCATTGTCTTACCTTCAGTCACTGGGAAATGAATTAAATGCAGTGAAAGCCAGGCTTGCCAGTGAATCACACTTCTTAAAAAGGGACTGTCTCGAGGAGACTTTAGGAGTGAGTGAGTCCCTGAAAACCAAGACTCAGTTTCATCGATAATGTGGACATGATTTTTCTTCATGAGGAGTCATGTAAGTTCTGGGAAGTGCCTGAAGTAACTTGTTGGATGGCATCAAGTGTTCTTATAACCACCCTATGAACAAGAGATCAGAACCTTGCAAAGTTCTGAAGAAGTTAAATGCTCCATAAATGTTCTTTTCCTCCCCAACAATATATAATCCTTATGGTTTTCCTACAAATCAGTCCAACTTCATAGTGGGATTGGTTCAAGAAATATTCCATTACACTCTCCTGTCACCTGGAGAATAATACCTTTAAAGTCAATGGCCAGTGCACAGTGAGTTATAAGAGTCTAATAGTGAGGCAATACCTGATTAAATCTTTGGGAGCAACTGTAAGACTGCCACTTACCCGGAAGTTAATGACACAAACAAGACAGAAATCCTTCTTAATGGAAGTTTGGAGAGAGGGCCAGCCTGAGAAGGCAGTCACTGAGCCTGCAATCTAAGGGTCCTGCAGCAGGCACTTTCTAGACAGCTGAAATGTTTCTGGGGCTCTGATGGGATCTAAGTCCATCTGAGCCTGTTGGAGAGAAAGTTGTTTTCTAAAAGGGTTTCAAAGTCAGAGAAAGCAAATCCCTCCAAGAAAGCAAGCTCCGTGAATAAAATGGCTTTTAAGGGAGCAGCTCGTTTACAGCAAAACTGGTTCAAAAATAAAATTCGCACCATTAACTAAAGGGCAAAATAGCACGATTATCACTTGAACTTGTTAAAAGCGAGCTTGCTCTCAGTCCTTCAGGCCAGTGTTACATGTAAATTGAAACCCTCTACTGAGACTACATCTAGAAGAAACACATTAGCTGTGCTGTGTGGCAGCGAGCTGGGAGGTTTTCATTGTTCTTTAAAACCCACATTATTTAATCATTCTAATCAAACTCCACAAAAGCTGCAGAACAAGCCAAGGTTTTCGTTTGTAAACCATCACAGATCCAGGACCTGCAAATATCAGAAAACACTGGCTCGGACAGTTTTTCCTGTGTTTAATGCTCTTCAGGATATTATTTTTCAATAGAAGACAAACAAAACATGCAGGGGGCTTGTTTTGTTTTTAATATCAACATATGCAATCTTATAAAAGCGTGCATTTCGTTTTCCTCTGCCAGAGTGAAATTTGGTTCTGGGCTACAAACTCCCGTATAATGGAGACTTAACTTGTTCTAAGTATTTATTGCTTATTTTAGCGCACAGAAGGGGAATGTAGAGGTTAAGAATGCTGCATTTGCAAGAACTGATATTTCAGACTATTAACATCACTAACATGCTAATGTTTGTGCAGCATAAATGTAGTCTAAAAGTCTGGTTTTCCTTCTTAATTGTCTTAATCATACTTCTTAAGTTAAAAAAGTGTAGATTCCTAATTTTAGGTTGAATTTTATGTTTTTTAAAAAGTTATGAAGATCAGAGTGTTAAGTGGAAAATGCAAGTATTTCTTTCCATAAGAAGTTCAAACAGCTCAAATTTTAAATGGGTTGGGAGGTAGGCAGGGAAAAATAAAAGAGTATCTCATTTAATAAATATCTCTCTTGACTGGGACAGTGCACAGAAGGTGCCCAACAT